AATAGCATATAAATCTAAACATAATTAACTATTAGTCAATATTTGATTCTAATATTTATGCCTTGAAATATAGTATTATGGAATTTAATATTTATAAAAATTTACGTTTCAAAGATGAAAAAAATTAATTTATGTAAGTTAAATATTTAGATGATTGCAGTACTTTATAATCTTTAGACCATAAGATAATCAAGAGCTAATATATAAATCTAATAGCCATACTTTATAATAAAATCAAACTTTGATTTACAAATAACATATAAAGGACTTATAATATAAATCATTATACAAACATTATTTTCATCAATCAATATCATCAAATATATATATATAAACTATGGTAATACAGGAATACTCTGTTCGTTCCTGAAGAAATTACCACTATCAACTCTAGTCTTAATCTTCACCAACCTCTCGAAATTTCCCGCGAAATATTTCTTACCGTAACGTTTACCTTCAACATAGCTCTTGATTTTACTTTCGTGAGAATTAATCCCCAAATCAACATCACGATAATTGAAAAACGATTGTCTCGGATTCTTGGTAACAAAAGGAGTCATAAACCGGTACAACTCCCTCGTCAATTCCATGTACCGGTTCGTTAATCCATCTTCTCTCCAATTCGCACCGTATTGAATCTTCCATAGATTCCCTGCTCTGTACGGAAATGGAGTCACCGTCGACGAAATCTTCGCCATTGCTCCGCCGTATGGATTGAAAGCCATTGTCGGAATTTCTAGCTCGATCATTTTCTTCCAAATCGATTCTAAACCGGTTTTTGAAATCGGTTCACGAACGTAATCTGATTTCCTTTTGAGGTAATTCACGGTTTGATTCCTCTGGAGGAGAAGTTTTTCCGATGAACCTACTCGGAGATTCGTCCAGAAAAGCACCGATTGGATCCAGCTCGTTTCGGTTATGTCAGACCGGACTAAACCCAGTTCTGGTAATATCCGGTTTAATATCGACAGTAGCGTAGTTGTGTCTCCGAGGAACATAGCTACGAAACTTGATCTAACGGTCTTTGTAGACGAAACGGTGCCGTTTACGACGTCGAGGACTATTCTTATGAAAAGCTCGTCGGGAAGCTCCGGCGCGACTGTTTGCCACCGGTGAACGATCTCCGTCGCGTTTTGCTCTAAAGTACGGGAGATTCTGAAAACGGTGACGTTTTGAGGGATTTCGACGAGGTTTATTTTGTAAGCTAAAACGACGCCGTAGCTTCCTCCTCCTCCTCCGTTTATTGCCCAAAATAGATCTTCTCCCATCAATTTTCTATCCAAAATGTTCCCTGAAAATTTTGAATGAAAAACGTTATACTACTACATATTAATATATAAAAAAATACAATGGAGATTAAATATGAAAAAATGAAACCGGATTAATG